TGGACTTAGAAAATTATAAATTTTTTTGCTTTAACCTAGTATTCCTAGACTAATTGTAGTAACATATTAAATCTATCTCTTGATAAATTTGGGTTTTGTCAAGAAACATAAAGATCACTTAGCATTACAACTCTTATAAGTGGTTTGCAACATTAAGAGATTAATAGCAAGATCATCAGATTCAGTAAAGCATTTGACATCTATTATTCAATAGAAGGACTCTACCAAACCCACAGAAATGATTATATGACAGGTTGGACACTATCTGCATCTCCTTTAAAGTAATCATTTGTGTTTATAGTCAATATTTTTCTGAGGTCTTAGGCAGTGAAATCTTAAGCAGAATTAAAGCAGTAGAACTCTGGAGCTTTGAACAGGAGTAGAAGTCAGAGCAAGGGAACAGAAGAGAAAGGTCAAGCAAATATGAGACTCTGGCAGGTATAAGAAATCAGGTCAGCTGGATAGAAGAGCTACAGACTGGGAGAAAATATTTGCAAAAGACACATCTGATAAAGGACTTTTATACTACAAATACCACAATTCTTAAAACTCATCAATAAGAAAATGAACAACATGATTGAAAACTGTGCCAAAGTCCTTAACAGACACCTCCCCATACAAGACAAGTAAACATGAAATGATATGCAGCATTATGTATCATTGGAGCATTACTAATGAGGTACCACTATGCACTTATTAGAATGGCCCAATTCCAGAATATGACAACACCAAAGTGGACAAGTATGTGGAACATCAAGAACTCTGATGGGAGTGCAAAATGATACAGTAACTTGAGAACACAGTTTATGTTTTCTTGGAAAACTACACATACTCTGGCTGTATAACCCAGCATCTCTCAGAATTTACCCAAATGAACTGAAAACTTATACCTATATCTATCTATCTATCTATATGTTTATATATATATGTTTATATATATATAAACATATATATATATAAACACCTGCACACCTCAATTATGAGTTTAGAGATGCTTATTATATATATATAAACACCTGCACATGGATGTTTATAGCCATTTTATTCATAATTGCCCACACTGGGAGTGAGAATGCCCTTGCATAGCTGATTGGACAAACTGGAGCATCCAGATAGTAGACTGTTGTTCTAGAAAGAAACAGGGTATCAAGCCATGAAAAGACATGGAGAAAAAACATCAATGCATATTAGTAAGTGAAAGAAGCCAAACTGAAAACACACTGCAGGATTCCAACTATATACATCCCAGAAATAGTTAAATTATGGAGACAATAAAAAAGGTCTGTTTTCTGTTAGCTACCAGTGCAGTGGTGTGACAGTTTTAACCATTTAGGAGCCTAACATCTGGCTGAGATCATTCAATACAGAATGACAGCGAAATCCTGGAGCACTGAAGGTGGGTGCTGGGTGCCCCAGAGGATAAGGCTCATAATAGGGCTTCCACAGGCCAAGGAATGGCAGGAGGAAAGAACATTTTTTTAATATA